CCTCAGGCACAGGGGTAGTGAGCTACAGGTATGAAAGCTGGGTTGACTGGAGGAGGCAGGGCAGGGCTAGAAAAAAAAAGGCTTGCCAAAATTCTAATCTTTTCTTTAAAACCTAAGAGAGAGGAACACGGAGGGTGGGGAGGAAAAAAGTCCTGCATAAAACTCAAGGTAAAACCAGACCCTGATGGTTGGAGGCCATAAACGGGTTGTTTTAAAAATGAAGGGCTGGCCTGTACTCACATGCATGAACACACACACACACACACACACACACACACACACACACACACACACTTAAAAATAAATGTATGTTACAAACGAAGAGCTGGGCACAGTGGAACGAGCCCATAACCCTGGTTACTCAGGAAGCTTTGATGGGACAACTGTGAAGTTGAGAGTCGGCTGGGGAAGTCTCAAGAGAACAAAGGGCGTGGCTACGGCTCAGTGACCCTCTCTCCGGCTGTCCCTCAGTCCTCCACCTCCTAAGGGCACGGGGGGTGGAGAAATAGATGGGTATTAAGAGCACACGCTGCTCCTCCAGAGAACCTGAGTTTGGCTCCCAGCTCATGCATCCAGGCAGCTCTCAGCCGCCACCATCTCGCCCGGCAGCTTCATTTCTACTGCTGTGATAAAAGGCAACCTGGGGGAGAAAGGGTTTATTCAGCTGACCATTGTGGGTCACAGTCCATTGCTGAGGGGACGTCAAGGCAGGAGTTCAAGCAGCCAGTCACATCACATCCACAGTCAAGAGCGGAGAGTGAATACACGCTAGTTTCTACTCTGCTCACTTTATCTACGCGTATACACTCCAAAACCAGCACCCGGAGAACGGTGACACCCACAGTGGGCTGGGTCATGTAACCAAGGCAGTCCCCGACAGACATGCTCAACCTGGTCTAGACAGTCCTTCACTGGGGCTCTTGTCTCTGGTGACCCTAGATCAGTGGTCAGCCTTCTGAATGCTGCAACCCTTTAATACAGTTGTTGCAGTTTCATAACGGTTATTCTGCTACTGCGATGAATGGTGACGTAAATATCTGATATGTGACTCCAGTGAAAGGGTCATTTGGCCCCACAGGTTGAGAACCACTATTTTAGAGTGTGGTAAAAGTTGACGAAATTAACCATTGCCCTGGTCCCTTACTTGACATCTGGGTGAGAAATGGAAATGAGTTGAACACACCATGAGGACCATGCAAAGCTGTGAGAGATTCACAGAAAGAGCTCCTAGCCAGGCCAAGGGGAAAGGGTGAAGTCACAATCTCCGTGGCTTTGTCCTGGTCATGCATGGTGATTTCAATGAGACTGGTCCCCACAGGCTCATAGATTTGAATGTTGGACCACAGTTAGTGCAACTGCTTGGGAAGGGTTAGGAAGTTTGGCCTTGTTGGAGGTGGCATGTCACTGGAGACAAGCTCTGAGGTTGCTAAGGACAGAGAATAAAGAATGATGCTGTAGCCAGGCGGTGGTGACTCACACCTTTAATCCCAGCACTCGGGAGGCAGAGGCAGGTGGATCTCTGTGAGTTCGAGGCCAGGCTGGACCGACAGCCTCCAAAACAATACAGAAAAACCCTGTCTCGTAAAAACCAAAAAAAAAAAAAAAAAAAAAAAAAAAGAATGATGCTGTAAAACCCTGACATTGGATGGCATGGTTACCAAGGTTACATGAGGACCTGCTCAGTGCCCGTTAGTAAAACAGTGGTAAAGGCAGGGGGGACGTCTCTCTCATACACATACCATTTGTAGTGACTTTACTGCTTTACTGCAAGCAGCAACTTCTACATAGTGGCTGAAATTTAAAAAAAAAAAAAGAAAGAAGTCAAGCAGGTAAGAGGGCTCCGGCCACCCAAAGAAACCTTGACAGCCTCACTTCCCTGTTTTATGTTTGACATTCGCAGTGCCTCTGTCACTCTCAATCCCATACCCTCCACACACGCCTGCACCTTCAAACTGCAGAGCTCAAGTAAGTTCCTCCTTCCTGAAGTTGCTCTCGCCCAGCATTTTGTCACAGCAGGGAGGAGAGTAACTAATGCAGGCAGTCAGTAAACACAAAAGTAAGCCGGTAAAATCACCAGCTGCCACCAGGTCCTTGGTACTTTTCTTTGAATGCTTCTGGGTTTCTCTCAGTAAACTCACTTGCCTGCCCAGGAGCGCTAATCAAAGCTGTGGGAACTGGCATTAAAAAAAAAAAAAAGCAGTGAGGGTACCATGACGCATTTCCCAGTGCAGAGAGGGGGCTGTGGGTTGAAGATGAATGGGCTGCTCCACTCCACAGGGCTGAGAACAAAACAGGCAGATGGGGATTCCAGAAGCAGCTGGAAACTGTTTCCTGAAGTAAACACACACCCAAGAGGAGTCCAGACATGCACACAGAGGAGCTGAGACGTGCAATAGCAAGTTTTCATAGATGTTTTTAAAGGTTTATTTATCATTTTTTATTTTATGCATATAACTGGTGTGTGTGTGTGTGTGTGTGTGTGTGTGTGTGTGTGTGTGTACTGCATGCATGTCTGGTGCCCAATGAGGCCAGAAGAGGGCGCCAGATCTCTTAGAACTGTAAAGATGCCATGTGGGTACTGGAAACTACATCTTCATTTCCAATGTCAAGCATGAAGGATGGATGACATTTTCCAGGATCAACAAACTACAAAAGGGGACAGGACTCCAACTACCCCCTACAACACCTGGGAGGGAAGAAAGTGGAAAGACAGGGAGGGGCAAGCCAGGGAGAAGAGCAAGGGAGAAGGGCAGCCGACATTCTCATATTCAGACAAGCCAGGGAGAAGAGCAAGAGGGAAGGGCAGCCGACATTCTCATATTCAGACAAGCCAGGGAGAAGAGCAAGAGAGAAGGGCAGCCGACATTCATACTCAGACAAGCCAGGGGAGAAGAGCAAGGGAGAAGGGCAGCCGACATTCTCATACTGTGTCAAGCCAGGGAGAAGAGCAAGGGAGAAGGGCAGCCGACATTCTCATACTCAGACAAGCCAGGGAGAAGAGCAAGGGAGAAGGGCAGCCGACATTCTCATATTCAGACAAGCCAGGGAGAAGAGCAAGAGGGAAGGGCAGCCGACATTCTCATACTCAGTCAAGTTGTTGCTCAAATGCTTACACAATCCAGAAACATTTCAAATAGGCAAGAACTCGGAGAGCATCCCTCGGGCATTAAACACTGACATGCAAATCAATCAAAAGAGACCTCTTCACATTCTCCCGCTGTTGATCTTGTCTGGCCCATGGCCCTTGCTACCCTGTCCCCCATCAACCCCACACGCTCCTGGTGCTGTACCCTCCACCAGCCACTGGACCCTCCTTGTCGATTATCCCAGCATTTCAAACAGAACCAATGCTTCTCCAACTCCCCGCGTCTTACTTTCGCACTCCCCACAGTCAGTACTGGCCCCAAGCAGACACCGGAAAGCCCAGACTCCTACCTCATCCACCACCCACAGCACCACCTCTGACAGCTGTGCTCCAGGCACACAGCTCTCCTTCCTCTGCAATCCCCATGCATCACGTCACTTGGAGTCACCCTGCTAGACACTGGGTGTCCCAGCCCCTACCTTCCTCGCAGGACTCTCCCGTCTTGTAGATATTGTTACTAAATCACATTCCCTACCCCATCCCTGGTTCCCTCATCCCTGAGACCCATGCCTGTACCTCCGACCCAGCCCCAGGCTATGAGACACATTAGCTAAGGTGTAAGCCCAGGTGTTCTGAGCCCTGGCCCTGAGTCCAGGCCAGATAAAGTGTCCCCATTCCACACACAGCACAGACAGCGCTAGGCTCTGTGTCTATTTGTCTGTCCTGTGAGCTGGAGAATGAAGGACTCAAAGCAAGGTGGCCCCTCACTTCTGAGTTCCACCTCTTCTACCGCCCCCTTCTGGCCTCCGTGGGCACTGCATGCGTGTGGCACACAGACGTGCAAGCAGGCAAAATACCCATACACATAAAGTAAAATAATTTTTAAATGTTTTAAAAATCGTGCTGTGTTGGCATGTAACCTACACACATCCCCTTTGTGCTTAAAGCATCTCCACATTACCTACAATAGCTAATGTGGTATAAATATAAATATTTATTACACTGTGTTTTAAGCAAATGACGACAAAGAAAAAAGTCTATATGTGTTTTAGTGCTGACACACTATTTTTATTTGAGTGGGTTTTGTTAATGTTGTTTGTTTCACTCAGGATCGAATCCATGGCCTTTTACTTGGTTAGCAAGCACTTCACCACTGAGCTACCGATGGCCCTCGTTCCAGATCCAGTTAAAACAATAAAACAATGTATTTTCTAACCATGTTGAATCTGCAGATGGGGAATTTCAGGGTATTGTGATCTACAGAGGCTAAAAACGTAGGGAAAGATCAGTTACATGTGCTGGGGATCGAACCCAGGACATTCAGCATGCTAGGCAAGTATTCTACCAACAGAGCGGCACCCCAGCACTCCAAGCCCTGGGAGTCGCAGTGCATTTGGTAATGGTGCTGGATACATCCACTTCCAGAGATGACCGCGACACGTACTTGGAACAAGAGTGCTGACTCTTACTAATTTCGTCTCACTCTGGTACATGAATTCTCTGCCGCTCAGAGAGCTGTCGTCCCTGGTGTTTCTTTATAGGTAAAGGTCGCCTTTTTCAATGCACGTAGTTACATAACTGTCAGCAAAGCATGTGACTCTGAGTCCTGCCCACTGGCACCGTGCCCCAGTCTTGGAGGGTGTTGGTGCTCCGGGTGGCAGGAAAGCCTGCCTTCCTGTGGTAGCTATGTAGTGGAGACACCGGCTGGTGGCAGCCCCATTCTGAATCCTGCCTAAGTGGGTAAATGTGTTGCTCCAAGAGCACAGAGGGAATGTGTGCTCCCGCATGCCATCCAGCCCCCTCCTGGCACCTGCTCCTAGCACGCCCATTTCCATCTTTATGACACACATTCAGGAGGCAAAGGAGCCCACACCGCCCAGGGGCAGCACCTGAGGAGATGAAGGCCAGCTCTTACCTGCCTGCGCAGCAGTGATGAGGGCCGTGTTCCCTTCGCTGTCCTGCCAGTTGACATCAACGTGGGGGCACTCTGCTAATGCCACCACAGTATCCACAAAGCCGTGGTAGCAGGCAACAATGAGGCCAGTCTAGAAATGAAGAGGGGAAATGGGTCAGAGGCACACAGCCCCAGCATCACCAGTGAGCTCTGGGAGTGGGATGGACTGTCCTCCTGGAAGCTGAAGGGGAGGCAGCAAGGACCGCAAGACCCCAGTTCTCAACAGTTTCAACTTTTAGGTCAACTTACTTATCTGCAAATGAGCAGAGCCAATCCCCATGCAGCACAATGTGCAGGGACATCAATGAATGACTAGATCTCTGCCCTCAGAAGTGTTTCCTTCTGATGGGGAAGAAAGCAAGAGCGCGCACACACACACATGCATACACACACACATACATATGCATACACACACGCATACACACATATGTATACACACACACGCATACACGCATGCATGCATACACACGTGCGTATACACACACACCATTAAAATACAAGGGAGTTTATATAGAAGGAGAAGGGACCCTAAAAGGGAGGGATGGGAGACAAGGAAATAGGAAAGACAAATATTGTTTTTTTTCTCATATGCAGAATCCATCCATATAGAGATTACAATAGCATTCATTATATATATTTTATAATCTCAGACCACTTGTGGGGGTCAGAAAGAACCAGTGGAAAGGGAAGCAGGACAAAATTACTCTTGGCTCTGGCTAGTGGCAGGGGAATTGGGAGGCGCAGGGTGTAACTGCCATTGTGACTCGTGGAGGGGAAAGGCTGTTGCTGAACAGGGAGGAAGTTGTTCCTTCCCCCAAGAAAAGTGAAGACACAGAACCCAGGCTGTCAGGTGCGGTGGGAGCAGCTGCATCCAGCCTTCCTGCCTGGATGGTTCTGGACTTTCAACTTATGTTGTTTTTAGGATTTGTCTTTGGGTTAGTGCCCAAAAGCTAATTAGAAATGGATGTTGTTCGAGGGAAAGGCTCTTAACGCTCTTGCTCCATCCACTGGACGGACCACAATGATACTAGAGTCACCATCAGATCTATGCTAGACCCTCACAGGTCTGTGACTCCCAAGGGAAGGATTCCATTTCTGGAACTCAGTGGTAATCTCTCACGTGTCTGAGGGCTTACAAATCCATGGCTTAGTTCTGTCAGTAGATCAAGTTAGAAGTAGACTAGGACACGGGGAGGCGATTCCATGCTGCCCTTTCAACATGTGTAAGCAAAACATCCAGGCATAGCATCTTAACACACACACACACACACACACACACACACACACACACACACACACACACACACACACACTTTCGAGGAAATGTATTGGGTAGATGACTCAAGAAAGCACAAACATGAGATCCAATGCAAGGCTCTATCTCTTAGTCCCCAAAGGCTTTACCTGGAGGGTCTGGTGCTATAGATAGACAGACTGCCTTTGTCTTCCTTCAAGTCACCTATGGACTCTTAACCCACGGTATGATTGTAATGACATTAGAAGGGGGAACCTTTGAGGTGATCTATTATGAGGATGGCACTGCCATGAATAGGGTTAGTGCCCACAGAAGAGGGACCTCAGACAACTCTCCAGACGCTTCCACAGCATCAAGAACAGTAGAGAAGGCAGCCATCCGAGACCTGAAGTGGCAGGTGCTCAAAAGAACTGAGCCCTCTAAAACCCTGACCTCTGACTTCCACAGACTACAAGACTGCAAAGGAAGGAGTTTCCGTCACTCGTTAGGTCACGCCATCTACAGTGTTTTGTTACAGCAACCTCAGCTGACTTCTAATAGCAAAGATGCAGGGTTACCTTCTCCAACACACAGATTAGCAGTCACCTAATCCAGGCTCTCGGGAGCCAAGTTTGATGATTAAGCTTCTTTCAGCACAGCTAATGCATGTTTTCTGCTGCAGGAGTGTGCCAAGGTTAAGTTCAGAGCAATCCCACGGTGGTTCAGTGCTGCTACAATCAGATTTTCAATAAAAATGTCACTTTTGAGTAGGACATGGCGGCATCAATATTCCTGTGTCTCAGCCATTTAGGAGGTGGAGGCAGTAAGATCCCAAACCCAAAGCCAGCTTGAGCTCCAGGGCCAAACTGATTCAAAGCTACAGGAAAAGAATGATTTTTCATAAGGTACCTTTCCAGTTATCATAGTAAGCTGTCCTGCCAAAAGGCTATTAGATCATGTGTCTACATGTCTCAAGCTCTAAGGAATAATATGACAGCATGATCCACTCCATAAAGATTGCCCAATACTCTCCGACTGATACGGTTTTGAAAGAGGTTGCCCATACATAAAGTAAAATATTTTAGCTCTTTAATTTTAGAGAGAAAGCACAGAGCCCTGCAGGAGGGCTAGACGAGCAAGATGCTGCTGGAGTTGACAGTTTTCCTGCCAACCTGGTTACTGCACCAACTTCTTCGTCCTCTTCTCAATTGTCAGCACAAATGAACCAGAATGCTCCCTGCACCTCCTGGGAATGCCTGAACTCATCCCTAACATCTCTGGGTGGAAGCATTGCTCTAGCGTTTGACAATTTCCTGACTTAGAAATAAGATGCACTGAACATACTGTAACTTCCTCTTTATGTGCTTATCATGTATGCACGCACGCACGCACGCACGCACGCACACACTCAAGAGTTTTTCTTCCAATTAAAAGCAGAATCTTTGCTGTGTGCTTCTGGCCTTTCCCCATCACCAACAACAGTACCCCTGAAAACAACTCATAGATCTAGAGGGTTAGACTCACAGTTACTGAAAAGCCCTTCTGTTTCTCCCTTAGGAGTATAGAGACCCCGCTGAAGCCCACAGGCCTAAGGCTTGCTGCACTCGGGTCCTGATGCTCTTAGGAGTCACCCATGGGAAATATCTGGATTCAAGGATAGAAACTAGCATCTTTGTACAGACAGCCCAACCACCCTTGAGAGATGTCCTATGTGTCAGGGGCAGTTGCCACCCCAACAGGATCCTCCTCCTGTACATACTCCATTTCCACGGGTGGCTATGTGACCATCCCTTCTCTTGGGACCGCTGCCACTGTCACACTGCTCACTGACTGCTGAGGGGTCTGTTCCTCCCACCACCTGAGGAAGAGTTGCAGAACAGGAAACAGGCTTGGATAACGGCAGCCTGATGTTTGGTCAGGAAGAAGACTGCCAGAGAAAGAGAGATGACTAAACACGCGGGTCCAGGATGAACCAGCAGGAGACAGGAAGCAGTGACGCACCCCAGGGCCTGGTGACTATGCAAAAAACCAAGATGTTCACAGCCTTTCTTCTTGGGCCTTGGTCCAAAAGGCCAGCACATCCACGTTTAAAACTCTAGTTCACATTCCAGAATGAACGGCTGAGGAGCTACTGATGATTGAAGGCTTCTGGGGAGGAAGAGTCGGTTCTCTTCAGGGATGTCGGCCTTCGTGGGCTGCCTACGTCCGTGCAGATGAGGCAGATGGTGTGGTACACGAATAAAGAGGACACGAAGTTGGGAGGGGTGCAGAGCAGGAAAGGCGGGAGGGATCGCAGGGGTGGATATGGTCATCTACACTGTAAACATGTCTGAAGTCCTCAGCGAACAAAAGCTAAAGTTTTTAAGATGCTCATGTTTAGCTAGTTTAAATTCCATCTCAGCTGAAGAGTGTCCGTGCCCCCATGTTATTGTGATTTTAGTTTGTGCTGCCCCAATTTGGAGTAAGACTGAACATGGTCGGTGTCTGTCAGTCATCTGCATTTCCACTCCAATAAACAGTTTATTTATAGCTTCTGTCCACCTCCCACTGGCTTCTTCATCTTCTCCTCACTGATCAGGCTAAGTTCTTTATGTTTTCAAAGTCAGCACTGTCCACAAGAAATAGAACAGTTACTGCCTATAAAACTGCCCTATTAAACGTTCCAATGGCCCTATTGATACAAGCAATTATCCTGACAGTGCACTTTATTTTACCCAACATATCCAAAATATTTCCATTTGAACAGCAATCAATATGGGGGAAAGGCGGGACCTATCTTCTGTCCTTCCTATTTACCTTATATTTTGCCATAAAAAGAATTCATTTTGACATAACAAGATTGTTAGTGTTTTCCATTATGGTATTGCTTTTTGTGATTTAAGACATCCTGCCTGAGCTGAGAAATAACTCAGTGGGTAAAGGCACGTCCCAGGAAAGCCTGACAACCTGAGTTTGAGCCCCAGAACCTACACATAGGTGGAAGGAGAGAACTGTTTCCACAATGTTGCCCCCTGACCTCCACATGTGAGCTGTGTCATGTGCACACACATGTACATACATACATACATACATACATACACACACACACACACACACGCTAAACTTTCAAAGTCAGAAATCTCTTCTGGTTGAGCATGGTATTTACTCCTGAAATCCCAGTACTCAGAAGGTGCAAGCAAGAGGATTAGAGGTTCAAAGCCAGCCTCAGTTACATGAGAACTTAACAAAAAATAAAAATGAAACACCTCCTGTGTCTTAAAGCACCACAAAGATACTCATACTTCCTTTGGAAAGTTTCAGAGTTTACATTTTCATTTTTAGGTTTAATCCACTATCATAGGTAATCTTTGTAGAGATCTAACTTTCCTTCTGCCACACGGCAAGCCAACTTTGCATCACAATTTGTGAACAAATTCTCTCATCTTCACTGCTCAGTAACACCACAGTCAGGCATGTCCCAGTATCCCACAAATGCCAGTGCACTCCTCCGGCCCCCAGACAATTCTGACTTCACACTGTAGCCTTTACTCCTCACACTACTTCACAATTGCCATTCCATGCATGCTAAGGTTTGGCCACAATGGACACTAACTGTGCAAAGTGACAGTGGGAAGTGAGCCGCTCTCAAGCGTGGATTGATGCTAGTTTTATGAAGGCCGCAAGCCGAGTTCTGGCCTGCTCAAGCATGTACGCTGGTTAGCACTTCTTCATTCAGCCACGGAATGACACAGCAAGAAAACCTCTGCTGGACATGGCTCCTTGATCCAAAGCCAATCATGCTTTTGTTTACATGTTACTGAATGTACAATAATTTGTTACTGTAGAATGAAACAGACTAAGACAAGGACCCTGTTTTG